ATTCTATGTAGATATTATAAACACTTCTTTAACAGTAAGTATATATGCATTCAATTTCACACTCTATATATGTCATACACTGTGTAATGGGTATATGCCAGGGATGTATATCACATGCTCTGTAAGAATGGGCATATATGTCACACTAATGGGTTATGTCACATCCTGTGTAATGGGTGTATATGTCACTCAATAGGCTATAAGGGAGTCAATATCATTTATAAGTGAAGAGATAGATAAACTGATGCAAAATAAAGTAAGTTCAATAATTATTATTTATTTTTATTTTATTTTTATTTGATTAGAATATGTCAATCAGTGTTGCATTGAAACAGCTCAGTGATTATATGTATCAGATTAAAATTATTAATGAATCATTACAAACATTGATACCTGAGTCTAATAAACCAAGAATACCTACACTAACTGGATTAAACCTAACATCATCAATAACTATCAATCATAATGACTGTGTTGTTAGCACTTCAACATGTATTCTCACTTTATCTCCTTTTCTTGATCTCATCCAAACCTGTCAGCTAACAGCAATACAATATGCTAATACAGTGAGTTTCATTCAATTTTATAGTAACTTACGATTACCTTTCAGACTCATATAATAGTATCATCATTTGGTAGTGCTACCCCAATCGGTACAGGACAGTTTAATAGTACTACCATTACACAACTGGTTCAAGCAAGTATTGATGAGATGTATTTTTCTAATGATACAATTATTGAAAGGTTAAGAAAGTCATCAATAATTCCTCTTTGTTTCAGTTATAACTTTGTCCCTGTGAGGTGTGAATTTTATTATACTTATTGTACCTATCAAAGTAACTTTCCTAACTCCATTCTCTCGATACATTAATCTTTGCTTGATTAATTACATCATAATACCTTTATCCATTTTAAAAATAATGACATGAAAATGCTATTAAGGAGAGAGAGGGTGAGGATTTAGGTGTACTGAGTAAGGCTAGAATGATTCACTTTAGAGAAAAAGGGATTGCCAGTAGTTACATGAGCTCCTACTGAATGTTTGTATTATCATTTTATTTTAATTTGTCTTTGCAGAATAGATATGTAATTGTATACTATTCATATAATGCTGCACCAATTTCATTTTTCTACTGTTTTTTGAAGTAATTAAAAAAGCTGTATGTTCCTGTCCTTATATGGAGGAACTTCCAAGTCTGGCAGCAACAATTAGTTAAAATATTATTTTACTGTATGTATCATAATACTACACAGTTTATCAATATTTCAATTAGTTTATTTACTATTATTTAGCTACAGTCATTAAAAAATATTGACCATAGCCTTCAATTTTCTTCCATAACTACATTAAAAATACTTACTACACTATTGTACATGGCTAAAATAAACTTATGTTTTGCAGTTAAAATATCAGTAGTTGAATCACATGATCAGTCACTGTATGTATAGCTATGGATTATGAAGTACCAGTATCTATTCAACAAGCTCCAGTGTCTGATTATGAAGTTCCTGTCTCCTCTAATCCTAGCTACTCTGATCATGTACCTCTCTCTACTAATAATAATCAGCTATTAGCTACACCAGTCACTACTAGTCCTTCCTATCAACCAGTGACTACTCCTTCAGTATGTAGAGAATGAAGTGTACTCTTTTGATCATGAGCTATATATCAATTCACAGGTAGAATTGGAGAGTGAATATTATGATACTTTTGATGCAAACAAGATTTGTACAAAAAAGTTAGAATTAAAAGTTAAAATTCAATTTCCCTTTATCAATACATATACTATAGTAATACATCATATCTACCAGTTGATCTAAAAACTACAACTACTACAGTGAGTCCTTCAGTTCATATTAAAAGGACAAACAAGAGAACAAGATCATATTCA